GTGACGTATCACCACATATATGAGTCAGGTTCTCCAGAGAAGCAGAACCAATAAGATCTGTGCACCCAGAAAGAGATTTTAAGGACCTGGCTTTCCTGAATATGGAGACTGGCAAGTTCAAACTCTGCAGGATTGGCTGTCAGGCTGGAGACCCAGGGAGGAGCTGCAATTTGAGTCTGAAGGCAATCTGCTGGCAGAATTCCCTCTTCGCCTTGGGGAGCAGGCCTTCAACTGATTGAATGAGACCCATCCATCCACATTATGGAGGGTGATTGGCTTCACTTAAAGTCTACTGACTTAAATGTTAACTTTTTTTAAAAAAATAACTTTGTAGAAACATCTAAAAAAATTGATGAATCATCTGGATACCATGGCCTAGCCAAGTAAACACAGAAAATTAACCATCGTATGACCCAGGGGCTTAACCTCTCAGTAAGGGAAACTTAAGAGTTTGACAAACTAGGGCTGAAAATGTGGTGCCCTGCTAGTTGAAACTCAAGCTGCTTTTCTAGAAATTATACTCACTCAGTTCAGTATTAGACAAAGATGAATAGGAAATTTCTGCTTTGTTTACCTTGTTTAATTTTATTATAACAAACAGGTACATGATAATTTACAATGTGAACTTGCACACACTTTGAAAATGAGTCTCATAAAATGAGACTTCAAGAAAGTTTCCCTTCGCATAAGTCTCTTTGGGCTATGTGCCCCAGGCTCTCCCAGAGACAATTCTGCTTTAATTTACATTTCTTTGCCATTAGGTATAAAAGCTTAAGAATTGCTTTGACACTTCACCTCAGTCATCTTAAGGTCCTGGCCACCTTGAGTAGGAAATTTCCATTGTCTGCCTCAGTGAAGCCAGACAGACCACTTGACATTGCCAGGCTGGAACAGTTTCACCTGCCTTTAGCAAAGAAAATAGGGAGATGATTGGGCTCATTCATTCTTAACCGAGTAGGCAAAGGAGTTTACCAGGTCTGTGAGCACAGAGGCCTGAGTCCACAGTTGGCTCTGTACCCGCACCCTTCCTGACCACTGCAGACACAGAGACGGGAAGCAGAGTGGGCTGTACAGCGATCCATCACTGAGAAACAAGCCCAGGACAAGTGTCCTCAGCAGGAGGAGTCTTTGAATTCACGTTTCCAATGAGAACGACAGCGTACACGTTCATTCTCCCGACGCACATCTGTGGAGCACTTACTGTATACTAGCAGCACCCTACCAGGTACGTGGGTTCGGGCACGGGTTGCGTTTGGTTCCTTCTCCCAGGAGGTTTGCTGGGATTCAAGCAGGCAAACAAGTGTGAGGGAGAAGCATCAGCTGGTGCCTCATCCTAAGTGTGTCTGTTACATGATTGAATTTGATCATCCATTTTGAGGCTTAGTGGAAAACCAATTGTAGAAAGCCTTTCATTTAAAGTGAAAAAACTCAACGACTTCCTCCTCCTAGAAATTTAGAGGGGAA